CGCCGAGCCGGCGATGCGGCCATCCGCATTTGCCTGCGGCAGCGGCCGCGCGGCGGCGCCGCCGGCACGCACGGCCAGCGACGCCGGCGCAGGCAGCGGCTGCGAAAGCGGCAGGGACAGCGGCAGCGGCGGCGCCAGCGGCGCTGCGGGGCCCTGGATTGGGGCGGAGAGCCCTCCAACGAGTGTCGCGCCGCCGTCGATGAGTGAGGGGCTGCCGGAAGCGGGCGGCGCTGTATGAAAGGCGAAAGCCATGTATGGTGATGCCTCCGGCCCCAGTGGGGGAGCCGCAAAGCTCAGGGACACCGGTTGCAGCACCGGCAGCGGCGCGCTGCTGGACGCGTAGCCAGCGGCGGCGCCCCCGTGGCCAAGCTCGGGGTGCTGCGTCACGAGCAGCGGGCGCTGCCGCGCCGGCTGCTCGCCCGGCTGGTGGGCCGGCGCCTCCTGCTCCGCCCACTGCAGCTGGAAGCTGGGAACAGGCAGCGCGCACAGCGGGCCGCTCCCGGGCGTTGCGAGCAGCGGCCCGCTCTCCAGCACTCCGCCCGTTCCATGCGCCGCCGCCGCGGCCGCTCCGCCCAGCGGCGGCGCCGCCGCCGCTGCGACTGCACGGGATGCCCAAGCGCCGCCGCCCCCGCCAAGCGCCACGCGCCGCGCGCCGCCTGTGCCCCCCGCGCCGCCCGCACCGCCTGTGGCGCCCGTGCCACGCGCGCGCGCGGCGCCCTGCTGGGCGGCGGCCGCCTTCAGGCCCAGGCGGCTGGCGCAGCAGCGCTCCGCGACCATGGGGCCGGCGACGCCGTCCCATTTGAAGTTGCGGTGCAGCCCCCGGATCGCCGCGGCCGCGCCCTCGGGCGTCGCCATCACCACGAGTCCGCAGCCGCGGCTCGCCTTAGCACTCGGCCTGCTGGTGCGTACAGATGCGCGCGCACGTGAGTTTTGACCGGCAAGGCGCGCTCAGCCCGCGCGTGGCGCGCGCTGCGAGAACGGTGACGGAAAGAGGCAAACGAGGCGCCGTCTGCTGGCGCCTGCCGGCTGGCATGCGCCTGTCCGCACCGCGTCGCGCCTCGCACCTGACGTGGCATACATGCAAGGTAAGACATGCCCCCAAAAACAGTCGGCGACGCAGACCACGATCCCGGGCAGATGATGAGATATTTCTAAAATATCTTGGCCCCCAGCCGCACCCACCATGATCTGAAAAGGTTGATCTCCTCGACCGCCCCAAACGTGCCAAACACTTGCGCGACAGCCTCCGGCGACGCGGACGGTGCGCACTTTGCGAAAAACACCTGCATTTAGCCATGAGGTGTGGAGCACGCGCGCCGCTTGAGCGAGCGCCGTGCGAGCAGGCGAGTCGATTTTGCTGCGCCTGGCACGGCGGGTGCGTGTCGGCCGGGCGGGGCCGAGCACAGCAGGGCGGCTAACCCTCAATGCAGCCGGGGCCAGCAGCGTAAGCCTGGCGCGTTTTTTGGTCACAACGAGCGCCAGATGACGAAGCCATTGCCGTGCCGCCACCGAGCCGCCTTTCTGGCCGCTCACCGTTCTCTCCTGTCGATCCACATATGCCTTGCATGGGATGGGGTGGGGTGGGTAGGGAGAGCCGGAGGCGCCGTCAGTGTGGCTGCTTCGCTTCAATGTAGGACGGGGCCGCATGAGTAGTGTGGAGTCAACCGCGCGTCACCGAAACTTGAACTTCGCAACCGCAGCGGCGGCGAGCAGCGGCGCTGGCCCCAAGCTACACGCCCAACAAGCTACGCGCGGCCCCGCTCCACCTCAGCGGGTGTGTAGCCGTTGGGCGTGATGGGGCCCGGTTGGCGTGCCCTTGGGTAAGGCTGCTGGATGTGCTGTTGCTTCTGCTGCGGTGGGCTGTCATCACAGGCGTCATCCATGTCGATCAGCACCATGTGCTGCCCCAGCTGCTCTTCCAACTGCACGGCTTTGGGAGGCGTGAGCCAGTACATGCCAGCGGGGGCTGCGCCCGGCAGTGGTGCTGTCGGCCACCGCTCCTGCTGCTCGCTGTCTTGCAAGGGTGCCAGCAGCGCTGTTGAGGCCGCGCCATGTAGTTCGCAGGCACTGTTCATAAGTCACGGGTGCTTGAGCAAGACTGAGTGTTCTTTGACTGGGTTGTAGACACAGGCATGCCTGTTGCGAGCCCGGGGCGTGGGCAATTACGAGGTCTCCAGGGTGGATTGTTTTCACGATCCCGACGGCTGAAACGGGATGAGGTTCTTTGGCAACAAATTCGAGGATGGTTTTGGAGAGTGTCACCGACTGATTTGAAAGCGTGAGGGCAACTGCGAAGTGCGCAGTCGTCCATCGAGAGCACGGGGAACTTAGGAGAGCAAGCCGGGCATGTCATCTCGGCGTCCCCCGGGTTTTGGCAAATGAAATTCAGCCCTTTCTCACTGTTGTGACTAACACCGCTCTTGTTCAGCCACGCAATGACGACTTCAGCTTATCAAGCAGCCAGCGGTCACGGGTGCTCACTGGCGTGGCCACATCCGTCCCCCTTACCCCATGCCTTGCTGCTGATGTCGACCTCCAATCAACTTGCTGGCACCACAACCCGGTTCAAACCACCATCTCATCGCCACCCCTTCATGGGCCCCAATTGCAGCAGGCCGCTGATTCCATTTCGTCCTATTTCGTCATCGTGCAGGCAGTCACTAGGACACATTTCGCCCCCGCGCCCAAACGTGCAAGGCGACCGCAGCTGCTGCTCAGCAAGAGCGAAGGTCTTTTACACACCAAAACTCAAGGACACGCCAGCAAGGGCCGGCCGGCCGGGCGCCGTCCGGCCGGCCGGGCGCCGTCCGGCCGGCCGGGCCTTGTGAATACCCACTAGCCCGCAGCCCACCGCATCCGCCCCGAGGCCCGCGCCCCGTGGCGCCCCGGCGCGTGCCGGCGCGCCCATACACGA